CCAGTTCTCTGATCTCAGCCTCCTGAGTAGCTAGGATTACAGGTGTGAGCAAGTAAGTACTCAGCTTACACGTGTTTTGCAATTTACCAAAATCACAACCAGACTTTCCCATTTCTCAGATGGAGAAATTGAGGCTCAGAGTAAGCAAGACAGGCTGCCTATCTCTGGGCTAACTCTTCTAGCCCACTGGGGCTTTGCTGTGTGCTCTCAGGCAAGGCCTTTCCCTTTCTGGGCTGCTCTGGAGGGAAGGGGCTCTGTGCCCCTCAGCCAACTTTTCCAGCACCCCTCCCCACCCCTCATCCAGGCTGGGCCAAGTCTGCTCCAGGGTGACCCGAACATCTGGGAAGTGCCAGGGACCATCAGGCCAGGCAGAGGCTGGGCTGCGTGAGTCACCACGGAGCGGAGCGGGGCCGCGGGAGGCAGGGCTGACCGTTCCCAGACGGGAGGTGTCAGGCTGGGCAGCGTTCCTGGAGTAAGCAGAGAACTTGGGAGCGGGGAGGAAAAGGAGGACCGCGTCGCCCACCTCCTCTTTCTTTCCATGCACCCTCTTTGCGCGCTTCAGTCCCTCCCACACCTGCGGCCTGCCCCCCAGCCCGGGGCATGGAGGGGGATGCTGTTGGCTCAGCTGTGCATTAAGCGTGTGTGTGTGTGTGTGTGTGTGTGTGTGTGAAAAACACCAGCCTTAAAGGGAATCCAGAGCTGTATACTTGGGGTCCTCAGAGGTTGAACCCCACTGGAAGAGGTCTGGTCAGCCAGCCAGGTGTGGGGCAGGCAGCCGTGCTTTCCGGAGTAGACCCACGGGCCGGCCTTGCTCCTGGTCACAGAGCTTGGGTATAAGAGACTCCAGCTCCCATGGGCCAAATCCTCAAACCAAAGAACCAACTCAGAATGAGATAGCAGCTCATATGGGTGGAAGCTTCCAGAGGCATTTCTGGGCTTCTGGAAGAGAGACGCGGGAAGGAGCCGGTTCAGGCTGAGCTATAATCCGATGGCCAAACATCCTGTCACCAGGGCTGCTTGGGTGGTCTCGGCGTCCTGGTCCTCCTGCTGAGTCTCCTGGCTGCAGGCAGAGCTGGGGCGCAGGCACACGCTGCCCTGTGGCAGAGGGCCTGGCTGCGCACACCCCCTCCCCTGAGCCGGGGCCTTGCCTCCAGCTGGCCTCACCTCAGCCTGGAGCCCGGCTGGGGAGGGAAGGTGCCCTCCACCCAGGTGATCCGTGCGGATCCTGAGCAGAGAAGAGAGGCGCTGCGAGGGCTGGAGACCGGGCGCATGCAGAGGCAGACCGTGACGTGCAGCCTGGACCAGTCTCCCCAGGGCCTGAGCAGGGCATGGCACATAGCACCTGTCTAGGGCTTCTTAGCAAGAAAATGGGGCCACATGTCCATTCGGTCGGCTCAGGGGAGGCTGCTGGAACAGAGAGACCTGTGGCCTAGTGGGTTGCATGAGGATGCTTCGGGCTCCTTCTGGGCAAGTCGCGGGGGAACGCCGGAGGACATTTGCCCTGCACTTTATAGCCGAGCATGGCTGGTACCTGGCGGCTTCCAGGTGGTGGGGGGAAGGAAGGGGTCTCCTCTCCCCTCACTTCCGCTCCATCCCACGGTCTGGCACGTTCCTGGGCTTGCCCACCGGGGAGCCTGGGAGCGGCAGCCTCACAGTGTGGAGCGGAAGCTTCCACAGTGTGATTCTTGCCTGAGCGGTGGGGAGGGCCGGGCGTGGAGAGGGTGGAATGAGGTTCGTGGATAGAAGGCGGGGGTCAGGGAAGCTCCTAGTGACTAGTCAGCTTTTCACTGGGGGTTCGGTGCAGGGATTGGGTCTGGGTGGGTAAATTGTTGGGGGCGGGGGGAGCTCTGGGCCACAGCCCTGCGCATGTTCAAATCTTCACCTCCTGCCCGCCCCTGGCTTCATGGCTGGCCTGTGTCCTCGTTCTCACGGTCTCCCGTCCCTTGGGGGAGGGACAGAGGAGAAGGACACGGGGAGGCTCTCCCCAAACTACTGTTTTTCAAAATCAGTCAGCTGAGGATTAGAGAAAAACGCTCCCTGGAGATGTGGATTTCATTGTTCTGGAGTAGCGTCTAGACACTGGCGTTTTGGGTAAATACCCATCCCCGGGGACGCTACGGCTGTCACAAAGCTCCGGTCTGGGGTGCGCAGCAGGACAGCAGGCTGTCCCGCCGGGCAGGACGCTCCCATGTCTGGGAGTATCGTCTCAGTCCCGTTTCTGTTGCTAGGACAAAATCCCTGAGGCTGGGTGCCTTACAGAGAAAAGAGGCTGATTTGGCTCAGGTTTGGGAGGCTCCAGGACCCACGCAGGTAGAGATCCCCTGGCAGGACAAGAAGCCAGAGTCAGCGGCCTGTCTTGCTCTTTGTGCAAACAACCCGCTCTCATCATGGCCACTAGGCTGGGTCCTGGGGAAAGGACAGGAATTCTTCCTGAAGACAGTGCCCCCAGGAGCTAACCACCTTCCACAAGGCCCCACTTCTGGAAGGTTCCACTACCTGAAGCAAATCCCCAGTATAAGACTTTGGGGGGCATCAACTGGCATCCAAGCCAAAGTGAGTTGGGGCCATGTTGCTGGCTCTGTCCCCCTGTCCCCAAGCTTGGTTCCCAGGGACAATGTGATCATGTCCTCCCTTCTGACCCCCCATGCCTTGAGTGGCTTAGATGGTCTGGAATGAATGCCCACAGCAACTGTACTGCCGGTGAGCTTGTGGCTGGCCAGCCCGATCAATCACCTCAACTCCCAGACAACCGGCTGAGACAGATTCCATTTTACACATGGGCGTATGAAGGCCAGAGGGGGCACCCAGGGGCTGGCCTCACACAGGCCGAGGTAGCTTGAACCCCAGGCCGTCTGGTCCCCGAGCCCAGGCTCCTAAGCCTTTAGCTGGTGGTGTGTGGGGTCTGGTTAGGGCTGCGCTCCTTTCTCAGATGTTTGGATTGGGGCTTGGAGATGTGGGTGTCTCATGGGGACGCAGCCCCCCGGAAGGCCATCCGGCTGTCTCCTCCCCTCTGGCCTCACCGGGTGGTGTGGGTGAGTCTGTGGCCAGTAGCACCTCAGCGCCAGGGGGCTGGTGAGACATGGCCACTGATGTGAATGACTCCGCTGCCCACGGTGACATGTCTTGGCTTGATCAGCCGGTAGTGTCCTCCACAGCCAGGCCCTGGGCCCCAGATTCCTGGTGGGTGACACACTCTGTGTACTCTGCCTGTCGTAAGAGACCTGGCTGGGCCCAGGCGGGGAGCAGCCGCCTGGGCTGCATCTCCGGCTCAAATAACAGAGGCTGGGCAGCGCCTCAGCTTAATCTGCTGGAAAGCCAGCCAGGCCCGGCTCCTCCGGATAAAGTGGAGCTCAGTCTTGTCTCTTCTCTCCTGCCTGGGCCCGGGCATCAGGTCACCCGGCAGCGAGTGGCTCTGTGCCCGCTGCCCCTCTGCCCATCCCGGCCACCTTCCCATCAGGCAGGGGAAGGGTTCGGTGGTTATCATTCATCAGATATTTTCCGCGTCCTCCCTTTGGGTGAAACCCCATTCCAAACCCCTTTAGGCTTCTATTCATTGGCTCTCCCCACACACGGAGCCAGGCCCGGACGTCACGCTTGTTTTATATGATGGAGGAAATCAAGGCTCAGAGAGGGGAAGCTACTTGCAAAGTCCCACGGGTGGCAGAGGTCTTAATCACCAGCAATCTGACCACCGTCATTTGCAAGTGAATTCGACAGTCAGTCATGACAAGGGCTCTGAAGAGAAGCCTCGCAGCAGGTAGGGGCAGCGGCTTCCTCTCCTGGGGCCTCAGATGGCTTCCTTGGAGTGAGGACCTGTCAGCTGCTGCATTACAGTACAAAGATGAGCCAGCGTGGGCATGGCGGGGGGGGGGGGGGGGTCCACGAAACAGCATGTGCAAAGGCCCTGGAGAATAAGCAGGAATGGATGGGGAAACAAGGAGGGGAGAGGATGAATGCTAGTCAGCCGCAGGTGGGAGGATTTTCCAGCCGGCCTCCGCTCCGGACTGGCCTCCGGGACCCTGAGGGGTGCTAGGGATGGAACTGAATTTGGGGCCCAGGCCACACCGCCGGTAGCTGGGCTACCTTTGTGCTGGAATGAGCCATGGGTGGCACTGCTTGGGCTTTGCTCCTGGGGGCTTGGGACTGGCCCTTAGCCAGGAAGAAGGTGCTGGCAGGTAGCTGCTTGCCGAGAGCCTTCCTACAGGGGCTGGCTGGTCCCCAGTGGTGGGGAGCGGGAACCAGATGGGGCTGTCCCCCTGGCTCTGCTGGGGGGAGGGCGGGACAGGGCTGCAGAGTCCCTGGGGAGGAAGGATCTGGGCTTGCAGTCTGTCCCGCCCTGTGTTCCCAGGCCCGGGTCCCCAGTCCTCCTGTGAACAGGAGTGAACCACTCAGGTGAGGCCAGGCTGGAGGGGACGGGGCGCGGCAGAGGCTACACCGTGGGTGGAACAAGCAGCAGAGGTAGCCAAGGAAATGGACAGCCCAGGCTGCCCGGGCTGCGGGCCCCAGAGCTGAGGGCCCTGTGTGGCGGCGGGGTCCATCTGGGCCTGGCCTCCAACAGGCCTACCCCCCAGCAGCACGTGCCTAGGCCCCAGGCAGCCCAGTCCACCAGAGGGCGGACAGAAGGTGTAGGCTGGCGGGGATGACCAGGCCAGAGCCCCCCAGGGCCCCTCCTCCCGGCCCACCCCGTGCAACACACCCAGCACACAAAGCCCTACCAGGGCCGGGATCGCAGCGGGGGGTGGGGGGAGCTCCGCCGCCACCATCCAGGGGTGGCCTTGGGCCTGGCTTCCAGCATCTTGGCTAGGAGCAGCAGCGCAGGGTCACCGCCTCCTGAGAGGGGATCCCAGGCCCCGCCTGAGGGGCGGAGGCCGGGAGGGGCGGGGGAGTCCTGGCTGGGGGCGGAGGCCGGGAGGGGCGGAGGCTGGAGGGGCCCTGCCTGGCGCCCCGCCTCCACCCTGTCCCCACCGGAGCTGAGCAGCCCGGCGCTCTGGGCTCTGGCTCTCCACACCACGGCGGCAGCTGGGCAGGCAGAGGGACGGACGGACGGACGTGGGTGTGTGGACCGCAGCCTGGTGAGTGCCCCTCAGCTCTGCGCCCGGCGCCCCCTGCGTGGCTCCCTGCAGCCCGCACCCTTGCATGCCCACGGTTCTGCAGACCAATGGGTGGGCGGACGGACGATGGACGGACAGATGGACATGCCGGCGTTCCCTGCTCCCCATGTGCAGCCAGCCCCCAGGTCTCGGGGTCTCCCCACCCCTCAGGTCTGCCACCCCTTCTACCTTAGAGCTGACCATCCACCTCTAGCCCTGTCCCCCAGGGAACCTCATCCTAATTGTCCCTCCCCACCTAATTGTCCCTCCCCACGGGGCTGGGGTCACCCAGGAGGGAGGGAGTGGGGAGGGAGGGAGGGAGCGAGGAACGGAGGGAGGGAGGGAATGGGAGACCCAGGTTCTCACCCGTCGGCAGGCAGAGTTTCTTGCAAGCGCATCTCCAGGCCATGGGGGGCTCCTCACACTGGGGGCTTCTCCGTCCTGTACACACACTCTCACACACACACACTCTCCATCCACACGCCCGTGCAGTCACGCATCCCCCTCTATCAAACACGCGAGTCTTGCTTGTGCATGCACGCGCAACACACACAGACACCAGTCCCACGTGGGTGTCGCCCACACACAGCCCCAGCCTGCGGGCCACGCACCCCCCCACGGCGGCCAGGAGCCCCAGCCTCAGGGAGGGGAGGAAGCCCCTGCGGGGGGAGGGGACTGTGGGGTGCAGGGTGCGGGCTGGGCACGGCTCCCCTGGCATCCCAGCTTCCCCTCCTTTAACGGCATTGGAGCGCTAGGAGTGAGCGCCTTCCAGCTTCCACTCTGGGCTCTGGGAGTCGCTGGGGCCGCTGAGCCGCGCTGAGCCAGCAGGTGTCGCTGTGACCGACCGACTGACCGGGCGTGGAGAAGGGAAGGGTGGCCGGGGTGCTGGTCTCCCAGCCAGAGCTCTTGCGGAGGTGCGGTCCGGAGCGTCACAGGGGATCCCCGTGACTTGTGGGGAAGCAGAGGGGCTCCCGGGCTTGGCCCAGAGCGGGAGCCGGTGCGAGCTGCGGCTGAGCACTTGGTGGGGGGGGGGTGAGGGCCCAGGGGCAGGAGGGAGCAGAGGCTCTGGGGCTTCCCGGCCCTGCCAGGGGGTGGGGTCGGGGCAGGGGATGGCGTCCAAGCTCCCCATGCCGAGGTGCAGCCCGCCAGCCCCGGCTGTGGCTGGCCCTGGGTGTTTTGTTTGGCTCTCACCCTGCTAGTATTATTTTAAAAAATCTAATTAGCTGCCAGCATTTACACATTGGTAAGTTTCACACAAAAGCCCGGATTTCCGTCTTCTCTGGAAACATCACGAGCTCGGCTGGCTGGGGAGCCGCAGGCCCTGGAGGGCCTGGACGGCGTAGATGGCCTGCGGCCTCCGGGGCCCGGGCCGGGGCACGTGGGGTCGCCGTCCCCACCCGGCCCTCCGCCAGGCTCCCGGGGGCGTGGGGACCACGGGGCTCTGACTTCGTGGCGTCTGGGGAAGCTTCCCACCACGCAGAGCCTCGCGGGAACAGTGTGCTGTCAGGGCTCTGAGATGGTGGCCGACGCTCTTTCCACTGGGCTGTGGGCTGAGGTCTGTCTCCCCAGAAGGAAAAGCGCATGGGTGTGAGTCAGGCCCCTGCTGGCTTTGGAAGGCCTCCCAGGGAGCCCCTGAACCTAGTTCACAACAGACGCTCAGTGTGCGCTCAGTGAGGGTCACGGCGTGACAGAGGCTGGTGAAACTGTGGTGCCTCTGGGGAATACTGTACGCGTCTGCCCACGTGACCTAGGAGGATGCTCTTAATCCCTTGAGACCCGGCAGGGTTCCTGCACCTTCGCCACGGCCCCCACGGCCAGATGGGCACAGCGAGTCTCTGGGTGAGCACACACAGTCCAGGGACCATCAAGGCCCCGCTCTGAACAGCTCTGTGGGGTGTCATTCCATTCAGAGGTGTGGGCCATGCACATCTTTTCCTTGAACCCGGCTGGCTGTGGTAAATGAGGCGCCATGCGGAGAGGGACAGCTCCTGTTTCCTTGTGCAGATGCTTGCTAGGTGGCAGGTGCTGTGGCAGCCGTTGTGTTATTCTGAGTCCCCTCTCTCTCCAGTCTGCTCGCTGCATGTGGCTTCATTTATGTAAGCTAAGTGGCTCTGTGGCACATGGCTTCCTGGGAATTTGTTGCCTGAAGACCAGGTTTGCTCATGTCAGACTTGGACATGCCTGAGTGGCAGGCAGCCCATAGCTAGACTCTGGGCTCCATTCCCAGCAAATAATCCCCAAACAGGACATCAACCTACAGTAGAGTGGGTGGATGGACGTCCATGGGCGAGTTTATTTGGTAGGGTGTGGGAGGAGGTGCTGGTGTTGGTACCCCGGACCTTGCACTTGCTAGACGGGCGCTCTACCACCGAGGCATGCCTCCAACCCCACTGGTGGGTTTTAAGATGGTTTAAAAAAAATCCCTCACATTCGTGACTACCATTGTTGGGGGGGGGGCTTGTGACCTCAGGGTCCTGCCGGTGTGAGCCAGGCCGAGGGCCCTGGGGGAGCTATGCAGACCCGTCCAGCACAGGGAGCCGCTGGGGGGGGGGCAAACTCTGGTCTGAACATTGGTGATGGACAGGCTCAGTGTGTTCTCAGCAGGAGACGGACAGGCCAGGCCTGTGAGATGGCTTTATAGCCCAGGCCTGGGGGTGAGCTTGGGGGGGGGGAGCAAGATGGCAGGCAAGAGGCCTGGGAGGGGGCGGGTGTGGGGAAGGGAAACTGAGTGTGTGTCAGCCAGTGCGGGGAGGGGAGAGCACCAGCTCATCCAACTCCGTTGGCTCCCTGGGCCATTCTGGTCTGCCGTGCGTCACGGGCTTCATTGTTCTCCTGTAACTGTAATTTGGAAATGCTACAGGCATGCCCCTCTCTTCCTCCCAATGACCATTGTGGCAAAGAAAGCACAGGTCTGGGAGGTAACTTCCTTCCTGGCGGCCGGAGCCGGGTTTTATGAGCGCGGCTGCATTGTCCTCCGTGGGCCGGGGCAGCCCTGCCCAGGCCTGATTGCTGCTGAGAAATGTGCCACCCCCCATGCCGGCTGCAGGGGGGAGGGGGCAGCACGTCTCGGGAGGCCCCGGCCCTGCCCTGCCTCCGCTGGCCGCTGGGTGAGGAGGCCGCCCTGGCTCTGCCAACCTCGGGTACGCCCGCATGGAAGAAGGGGCCCGCGGCCCGGGGGAGTGTGCAGGGAGGGACAAGGCCAGGCCTGTCTGGGCCGCTGCCTGGGCCTGGACCGACCTCCATTTCCCCATCGGGAGCTTGGGCGGGGGCAGTGCCCACCGGTCCCCTCGCCCCTGCTGTTGGGAGGAGAGCGCTGGGGTCCTGTCTTGTGGACCGCGTGTGCGTGGCCTTTCTCTCCTGTCATGGTCTTACTGTCACTGGGGTGGCACCGTTGTTGGAGTTGGGCCCGCCCGCCCTCTGCCCTCTGCCCTGTGACTGGGGCCGGCTGGCCTTGAGGCCTCCAGTGTCCACTCTTCTGCCCCCCCTTGCTCACCTTGGAGCCTCCCCCCCAGCACTCGCCCCCTTCCTGGTCCCACATGGGCTCTCAAGGAAGTCCGTTCTGCTTTGAGTCAAGAGTTGGAACCAGTGGGAACAGTCCTTCCTGGCCCCGAGGTCTGTGAGCCTACCTTGAGCAGCGATCCCTGGGGCGGTGGGTACGTGGGGGGGAGGGGGAGGGTGCTGAGACCCCAGGTCAGGGCACTGGGGCTGCAATCTGGAGACACAACCTCACACACACAAAGAGGTACACACTCCCTGGGCATGCACACATACTCAAAGAGGCACACACATGCATAAGAAGACACTGAGGTACACAGACACACAATGCACACAGGCTTGCTTCCTCATTCACAGACACACACATCCCCAACACACATTCACATGCATGTGTGCGTGTACACACACATACACTCACACACACACTCACACACACGCACACTCACACACTAACACTCACACACTCACTCACACACACTCTCACACACTCACACACACACTCTCACACACACACTCACACACACTCACACGCACTCACATACACTCACACACACTCACACACACTCACACACACACTCACACACACTCACACTCACACTCACACACACACACACTCACTGGAGACCCACTCTTCTCTGGTTTCTCAGGCAGTGTCTGGGCCCCTGGCGTGGAGGCTCAGGGCTCAGGCCTGGGAGCTGCCAGTGCCCCTTATCTGTTTCCTGCTTATCTTAGAAAGCAAATTAATTTTGTCTGACCTCCGCTCCCTGGTCATGGGGTGGCGGGGGCAGGCTGGGGACCCGCGCTTTGTTGGGGAGTAGCCGGGGCGAGGGCGCGATGCTGGCGCTGCTGCGGAAGGGCCCCGGCTTGGGCTGGCAATACGGGGTGTGGAGACCTTTCACCACGGCTGTGACAGGGGCCACAGCCCAAACCCTCAGACCCACGGACAGACACCGCGCGCGTGAGGCAGGGCCGCAGTCCAGCTGCGCCTGTGGCCCGGGCCCAGGGCCCAGCCCTGCCGTGTGCGCACACACACACACGTGTGTGTGAGAAGAGCCCGCGTGGGTGTGAGCAGCGTCACGCCAGCACCCGGGATGCTGGGGTACCCCGCGCCCAGAGCCCGCCCAGGAGCCCGGCCATCACCCGCGCCCCCACTCTCGCCGGCTTGGACAGGCCCCTCTGAGGGTCACTGATGACAGGGCGTTTTCTGGGGCTCCCCGCATGTGTCCACAGATGGGCTGAGAGAGGGGGACACAACACAGGGCAGGGTCTAGATGGGGAGGGAGCTGGGGCTCCAGGACAAGGGGGAGACCAGGGCCTGAGAAGGTGTGCGGTGCTGACCCTCAGAGGCCTGTGGGGTGGGAAAGGGCAGCCCCAGGGTGAGAGGAGGTCCGAGTATCCGGAGGGCCGGCAGGAGAGGCCGATGCCCCCCTCCCCGTCCCCCCTTCCTGCCACGCGTGCCTGGGGAGGAGGGCTGGGGTCTGCTGGGA